AGAAAGACTGTTAGGAATATAATCTAATGGTTGGGTTGGCAATATATAAATCATGTAACAATGCTGTACCTGTTTCTTTAAATCATACTGTAAAATGTGATTGGTTACTGTTTCCTCAATCTGCCATAAGAGGGTGCCAGAATGACTGTTAGCTGTCTGTTCATTAGATGCTGGGCTGATTTGATCTGTGCCATGAGCTATTATAAGTTTTGCAACTGTTAGCAAACTGTGATTACTGGACTGCTTATATGATACTGGACTATGTTATTTGGATTATCCCTTAACTGAAAGACGTTGATGGCTGACTGAATTATTCATGTATGACTTGGACTGTTTGATGGACTCTGATACCTCTATTTCCACGAAAGTAAAAGCCTATTTAAACTGCAGTGTCTCTGTATGCTGGTTTGTGTGTTCTCCAACACAACGCTCACAACGCTTCTCTGAACGCACTCGCTCTCCCAACAGGGAGCTTACCTAACATCAACCAAACATCAGTTTGAAACATATCTTTAAATCAACCATGAAATATCCATAAAAAAGAAAGATAAAATGAAGAGGGGGGGAAGGAACATAAATAATGGCTTTCACAACCCCAGACTTGCATACTGTATCTATAGGGAGTTCTATTTGCAGAAGTATGTTTATATCATATAAGAGTTGTGTCAACTGCTATTCACCTAGGGATTCACTGAAACATACACTCTGACCCAAATTTTTGCGTGCAACTGCATCAGCTGTAAAGCTTTCTCAAAAAGTCCTTTTGCCTAGACTATGATTAATTCAACATTTAGTCTGTTTAAATCCCCAAGCAATTTAACTGCATTTAGAGTTAGCCCCTTGGTTGCAAAAGTGTTAGTGCTCGGAAAATTGCTATAAACTGATCTCATAAGATACTATTCAATAAATGCCCCTCTGGAGCCACATACCTGCACTTCCTGCACCTGTAAAGAATGTCATGATTTGGGATTTGATGTACTGTGTTTGGATCAATTGCAAAGACATGACCAGGCAAGCCTTCTGTCTCTGAAATCCAGAAACAACAAGGAGTTTATATACTTATAATAAAGCATCTCTGAAAGTTTAGAGCACTTCTTTAATGCAGATATTTACAGGTAGTCCTAATAGCAATATCCCCATAGAAGTATACAATAAAACACATCTTAAAAGGATGGTTTAAAGCTGCATCAATTTATCCCAAGAGGGCTTTGAAAGAACTAATATAGCTAAAATCTCCCAAGTAAGATTTTAGCCTTTATTAAAATAAGTCCACCAGGGTAACTATAACATTTCCAATTCAATATTCAGATACCAATTTTATGAGAATGCAGGGAGAGAAAAATCACATAAAAATGTAATTAGTCATGTTTGCCCATGGAAAAAAAAATAGAAACAGGAGCAACACTGTAATACATATATATTAGGTTCAAGAGAAGGTGAGAAAACATTTTGAATTTGTACAAAAAAAGTACAGATGAATTAAAGAGAATTTTTTTTGCCACAGAACCATAAACTTTAGGTTGTCTAGAGGCAATGACTATTCCATTGACAAGCCCAATAATTCCAGGCAATAATTTAAGAATTTGCCTTTCTGGATAAATTTTGCTTTAATACCAACCAGTTTAGAATCCTCAAAATTTTAATGCCTAATCATTAGTTCTTTTCTTGTGAAAAAAGGTGATAAAAATGCAGTGAATCTGATTAGTTAGGTTCTTTTGTAACATTGCATAACACATAATGTTCAACATAAAAATATGGAAAGGTATACAAAAAATTTCTTATTATTTTCAATATCAGTATTATTATTTTTCCTTTTATACAACTGCTTTTTCAGAAGATTATTTTCCTCTCACTAGTCTATTATGCAGCCTAATTTGAATAACATAATAGTGGTATCAAGATTATGAATAACTTACAGATATATGATTTAGAATCTAGTAATTGATATATATATATACATATTACTATAAAAATCTGCACATCTCCATTGACAAAAAAAAGGCAAACATAGTTTTACTTAATTCTTGCCCAATCTGAGTACATAAAGAAGGAAGGTAGTCTTCGATTTAAGACCATTTGCTTAGCAACTATTTGAAGTTATGATGGTACAAAAAAAAGTGACTTACAACCGGTCTTCCCACTTGGGATCATCACAGTATCCCAATTGTCATGTGATCAAACTTCAGGTGCCTGGCAACCAGCATATATTTTATGGTGGTGCAGAGTCCTGGGGTCATTTGCGACCTTCCCAACTGGCTTCTGACAAGCAAAGTCAGTGTGGGAAGCTGAATTCGCTTAATGACCATGTGATTTATTTAATGACTGATGATACACTTAATCATGGCAAAAAGTATTAAAAGTGCAAGCACCTCCCTTAATGACTGTCTTGCTAAGTGATGAAAGTTCCAGTCTCAATTGTGATCATAAGTTGAGGACTACCTATGCATATATATCAAAGAGATACAAATTAAAGTCTAAAACTTTACATATCAAAATGTCTTCATTTTTATTTTGTATTTGAATGGCAGAAATTAAACATAGCAAGCCAAAACACTCTGCGTGCAACAAACAGAATGTAAACAGAATGCTATCCTCCAAGGACAAGAATGAAAAAGATAAATACCATAGACAGTAAAAATGCTCAAGATGACAGGATGAATGAACAGAGGACAGGACTGTGTGGCTTATTACCAGTCCCTACAATATTGATGCTCAATATGAAAATGTTAGTTGAAAAACATGATGGTAGAAAAATCAAGAAGACAGACTAGCAGAAGGGACAAAAATGCCATCATTGGGCTTAAAAATAATTATTGATTTATAGTTCAATCAAAGACAAATGCATTTTTGCATTCTGTGTATTAATTCTCAGATACTCAGTTGTATCTCTGGATGTCTTCAACTATCCCCCCAAATCCTTGAGTATCTAAACACATGAGATAAGTTTAGCTAATCAGTAAAGGTCATGTCTGTTAAGCAGGCTCTGCCATCAAATATAAAAAAGATGGAGGGAAAAATGTACAAATAATATAGGAGCCACTAGTGATCTTTATATAATTTCTTTTAATGCACTTGTCAGAGGCTAATTTTTGCTAGGATGGGCATGAACAAGAAATATGAAAGATACAACATAGCTAATATTGTACATTATTAGCTTTCTTACAGATATTGGGATGTTTCATAGAGGTAGTAAACATGTTAACTATCTTTCAGAATTGAAGTTTCTTCAGATAAACTATCTATAATATAATTAACATACTGAACAGAAAGGCTATTACAGTTCTGCTTACTGCCAATATTAAAAGGATCTTGGCTAGCAAAATATAGCAATAAAAGTAGTTTAATGTAGATAGTACAACATCTAAGCAATGGGGTAATTTCTATTTGCCTTACCAGGACAGTTCTCTGTAAGGTTTTTCAAACGATACTGTTTATAAATAGTATTGCTAACATCAAACTTACAACCCATTTTTTCATAGAGTTGCAGCTGCCACTCAAAGCCTTCATTCATCCTAGAACAAATCAAAAGAAAACTTATAGATCAGAGAATGTGTATTTTAACCTTCAGGAGAAAACACTTTTGCCAAAGAAAAAATAAATCATACTTAGCATCAGGTTTGATGGCTTGAACAAAGGCATAGGCCTCTTGAAAAGTAAGGTGATTAGTTTTCATTAAATAGGCAGTCACAATAGCAACACTTCGACTAACTCCAGCATGACTGGAAAAAAGAACAGGAAGATGTAGTAAAGTATTGTTTCCCTTATATATACCACAAAATACATCATTACTGCTTTTATGCTGTTTTTCATAATCCATTTTTATTCAGGATCAGGAAGCAGAAAGCTGGGCACACATCCCTCATCTCATTTTTGACAGCTGCATTAATATAATGCTACAGAATCAGGGAATCTAATCTTTCTACAATTCCCGCTAGACTGCTTGGATGCAAAACAATTATTATGTATCCTGATTATCATGAAATCTCCCACTATTCAACCTTAGCACATTTTTGACATTACATGACAGGAAGTTTCAGGTTGGTCTTTACTGTAATGCTTGGATGATGACAATTCTACACTAACAATAGTTTATTCCCATGTTCTGAACAAAAAATAAGCCCCTTAGAGTGTAACAGAAACAACAGTGTGCCATTTAATCTTATGTAAATTGGGGCAATTTAGCATTTGTCATCAATCTATCAGTGATCATAATAAAAAGAAACTAACATTCCACATTCAAATACATTTTATTGATCAGCAATTATATTAATCAGTGTTGGGCAGAACTTTTTAAAGCATGTTTTCAGAACTGTTTCTGACAAAAGGAACTTACCACAAGCTAATATAGAATTTCCCTAAAAGTTGACAGGGGAGAAGGCAAAAATAAAAATTCAGGAATGTCAGCAACTTAAAAACCATCCTGTTGTCTGGGTTCACAAATCGCAATAAGCCTTCATAAGATTAGCTTGTTGTTGTTGTTTTTTTTTACCAAGAACGAAATATGAAATCAATTACTGTGAATTTGATAGAGGACAGGAAGGCCTGGAGGAACCTTGTCCATGGGGTCACAATGAGTTCGCAACTAACAACTGTGGATTTTAAATATGGTTTCTTACATCTTGAGTGTTTGCACACTCGGCAATAATTCTCTGCAAGTGCACTGCAGAATTTTTAAAGCCTCCTCACCTCCGTGCAACCTTTTAACTTAGGTTAGACTTACAAATATTTCAAAAACTCTTTAACCCAGATATTACACACCATTAGGCTAAAAGGAATACATAAAACGGCAGCTATTGTCAGCTCAAACACTGCTAACTCCAAAGCTCAAATAGAGCGGGCGGGGCTTTAATTATGACGTAACAAAGACAATCTGGGAGGTTTCCTACGGAAGGCGCGGAAAGCGTGGGCTGTCTACACGGCAATTAGTGGATAAATAGACGATCCACGGGGAAACGCAGTATTTGAACTCGTTAAGTATTTTAAAAAAAACTTAAATCCGATTGACACATTTATACTCTAAGGAGGGCAGAAATGTTCTTCTATCCCTTAAGAAGCCCAGGCTGGTTCTTAATAGCTGCACTATAATCAAGGATTTCTCTATCCTTGTTTCTGCTCCGAAACGTTGCTCAAAGCTAGTATTAACAGATTAGCAGAGTTGGGCTGCTTGGGCAGGGGGTTGGACTAGATGACCTGTAAGGTCCTTTCCAACTCTGTTAACAGTAGAACAAGAACGTGGTTGGGGGCTTTTGCCGGTCAGTCCCAGGGTCATAGCCCACCCCGCCTCCCAAGCAGTCTCCTTAGGCCGGGGGCTCACCAGCGCACCAGGGCGCTTCCTCCGCCCTCCAGGACTTGGCTAAGAAAAGCCGCGCACTCGTCCAAGCGACTCAGCAGATCGCTCTGCGGCTGGTCCAGCGCCTGGACAAACAGCGTGCTTTCGAATCCCGCAAGCGCAGCGGCTCCGGGCGGCTCCGAGTCCACCTGCAGCAGCGCCGTGACGGCTGGCTTTCCGGAACCGTCTGCCGGGCCAAGATCGGCGCCGCTCAGATACAGCCGCGGAAGCACCGGCACCATGGCCTTGGCGCGGCTAGGAGGAAACGACGGAGGTTCCCGTTGCTCCGCCCTCGCTGGGCCCGTCCCTGATCGCCGCGCGGCCGGCGTGTGGCGGAGAATGCAAAAGATGGGCCCAGGGAAGCGGAGACTTCCAGTAGCGGAAACGACTTCTGAATCCCTTTAAAACAGTGGTCTCGAACCTTGGCAACTTTAAGACATGTGGACTTCAACTCCCACAATTCCCCAGCCAACATGGGTGGCTCTGAAGGATTCTGGGAGTTGAAGTCCACAAGTCTTAAACTTGCCCAGTTTAAGAAACATTGTTTAGATATTTTTTTCTCCCGCCCCCGCCCCCACCTCTTCCTCCCATTTAAAAGAGAAAACAAAATATATATTGTTTTCACTCGTATTGTGGCCTGAGAGCATTTCGTCCCTGGCTACTAAAGGGGCCTTAGGAAAGGGCTAACATTAGGTAAATTAAATAAACATGGTCGATAAGCGGAGAATCTTAAATGTCAAGCACGCAATTGCCTAATTTATATGACTCCACAAGGGGTGCTGTTTTTGATCAATGTTTATTTTGGAAAATGGACTCAAAGCAATATTATTTTGTATTTTGGGGGTAAACTAGCAATGTTACATGCAGTTCAGAAAGATGTACAAAATTCTGAAGCAAATTAAGGAAAAGAAGACACAGCTAAAACTGATTTACACAAACACTACACACATTGAATCAGACACTGCTTTTTGGATAAACGTCTCTTAAACAATCTCATAATCCAATCATGATTTTTTCTGTCCTCCTTTCAATCCTTTTACTTCTTCATAGGTTCATTCATTCTCTATGACCAAGTCACCTCAACATACAGTATTTGTCTTGGGCTGCTTATGTTTGTATTCAATCCATATTTATTAACAATATATTTTTGTGTTATCTTTTTTTTAATACCCCGTTCCCACTGCATTCAACTTATTTTTGTATTTCTCCTGATATATTACTTCCATGTACAAACAGGACAAACTACTCCTATACCCAGCTATTTTTCTTTCTAAAATGTATCTTCCCTTAAAATGAACCAGTTGCTACTCAACTTTCTAGCAGCATCTAAATATTTTCCATACTTTTCCTAAGTTTAGTAAATTCTGTGAAGACATATAAAATTATATACTTGCTCCACTTGTGAAAAAATTCCTGATGACTAAAACATAATCTTGTAAGGGTTGGGTTTTTGTTTTTGGTTTAAAAGCAACTTTCTAATCTATTTCTAGGCATATATTATGGGAAAAGTTGAAGTCTTCAACTGACAAAAGAATGCTTGTTCTCAAAATAAATCCTTTTTAAGGTCCCGACAGTGTTGTAACCAATTCCTTCTATATGTGGAAAAAGGCAAATGTGCACCTTGACTCCAACTTCTTCTATTTTTACATAAATTACTTCTGCCTCACTGGAATCTAAAGACTCCTCAGGTCCCTGGACTGATACACATGTGCTTCTTTTAAGATGTTCTGGTGACTCTGTTTTATTATCCCAAATGTGCCTAGATTTTCACCAATTGTTGGAAGATCTCAGAAATAATTATACACAGTAAAACTGGAGCTCTATGTACAATGGAATATATATATATTTATCTCCGATTGACAGATAGTGGAAGCAGTTAGCTTCCTCCCATAATTGGGGCTTACCAGGGGTTATATATATAAAATCAGATGTTCCTAGATATATTACCATGTTTTGTTCTGTGCTTAAAGACTGTTGTTTCTTTTTTCCTGATTTTTAAATTAAATCATTTTAACTAAATATATAAAACAAAATGAATATCTAAAATTATAACAACAACAAAAAGAAAAGAGAAAGCTAAAAAAAGAAACAAAACCATATAGGGCATATATTCACAGATATATATACACATATATAGAGTTCTACAGTAAATGGAATTACAGCTATCCATAGCTATATTATTTAATTCTGCATATCATTGAATAGTTGAGCCATTTTCCAGTGCTGATCTGTAAGTAAAGTACAAATATCCATTTTTTTCAGATATCAGCTTCAAACAATATAAATATCTGAAATGTCAGCACTAAAAGCATATAATACTAACTACTTGCCAAAATGGAGCAGTGGGCTGGTTCCCCTCTCACTTCCCGGGCTGTCAAATCATAAAGGTCAGGGACCAATGTACTAGTGGTTGTTTAACCCTCTTCTATTTTTTCTATTAAATTCCTCCTGTATTCTTTCTTAATTTTTAATCCTTCCTTGCTCTATTTGGCAACAGTTTTTGCAACTATATTTTCGTCTATGTGCACATTTTGTATGTTATCCTTTTCTCCTTTTTGCAGCAATCTATGTATTTTTTTTCTTCATCCACGGTTTCTTTCACTTGATCATCCCACCAAGTGACTTTATTTATACAATTCTGTACATTTCTATGGCATCATGTAACAATTATTTCACTCTAATAGTCCCAATCTTTCATCATAACAAATCAATCATGCTTTTAGAGTTATATTAATTTCTTGGTATGTATATGTAAGAACAGATTTATGCTTAAACCATGTATTCAAAACAAATCTGTTTAACCAGTCATCATTCCCATTAATTCTCAAAATACCAGAGTCACTTTTTGTGCACCATCTCATCAAGTTTTAGCGATAGCATTTGGGCTTATTAACAGCCCCATGGTGTTTTACAGTACTCTCTGGGTAGTTTACAAATAAGGATTATTTGCATATTGCCCCCAACAATCTGGGCCCTCATTTTACTGACCTCACAAGGATGGAAGACTGAGTCAACTTTGAACCCCATCATGATCAAACTCCAGGCTGTGGACAGAGTTTGCCTGCAATATTGCAGTTTAACCACTGTGCCACCGGTCATTAATAGATCAATATATTATAAATAGATCAATAATCAATAATTCATCAATAGACAATACTTTACTCAAGGAACTACCAAGAAAACCATACCTCGACCAACACTGGCAGACCAAGCTATCCTACATAAACAGGGAGTAAACCCCACACTCACTATCCCTAATAAGATTACCTGAGATTACCTAGTTACATAATGAAACAAGCCAGCAAACAACCAAGCTCAGAAAGCAAAAGGACTCTATAGTTCAACCCTCAACTTCATGTATTCTCTTCTATTGCCATCTTTGATCCCATCCACTTTCCTAGTATTGAGTCCATGACACATTATGCATTAGGAAATATGGTACTCAGCAGTTTAACCTAAGGCTAGTGGAAAAGTCAAGTCTTTTAAAACACCAATCAATCTTCCAGAGTGTTACTTGGACAGTGAATGAAAGAATAATCATTAATTAAAACTGGCATCATTATGTGCCAGTTTAAGTAAGCGGAATGAATTGTAATCAAATATGATTGAAAGATTTTCAAGTAACTAGATTAGAGTTCCCAATTTAAAAATGAACTAAGAATGTTTAATCATGGAGTACATTCACACATTACATTAAAACATAAACTATGATTTACAAAGGACAATATTTTAATTTAAGCCAGAATTAAACAATGACTTAACAGAGAATGAGTAACCTTCAGGCCACTTGATATTTCAACAGCCTCCTGTGTAGGTAGGCCCAACAAATTTGAGGGTTTTTTTTTTTTTTTTTTTTTTTGCAATACGGGATCTTGGAGAGCTAAGGACCAAAAAATATGCCATTTTTAAAAGCTCTTGAAATGGGAGGATTAAGGAGCAAAAGGGTTAACCATTTAAAATGTTCATGCATTAGAAGAGAGAACCTTG